TTTGCTAAAACTAAGTGTTATCACTGGGTTCAAGTAAAAGTTTTTATGGAGATTACAAAATCGAAGTTGAAATTAGACCTGTGCAAATAAGGATCCGGGCCGGATCTGGGCCGGGGTTGATATAAATTTTTAGCCCATTTACATGGGCGGGCCTGGCCCGGCCTGGATTTGATGGGCTAAATTCTTTACCCATACCCGCACATCTTTGCGGGCCGGACTGCCCACCGGGCTGCCCGGCCCCGATAAAACACCAAGAAATTTTTTTTGTACAAAAAATTTAAAAAAAACATTGAACTCTTTTTTAATATTTAAAATAAAATAACCAGTCACCACATTTATATACAAAGCATAATAGAGACATTGTTGCATAATTTATAAACTCATCATACTGATTCATTAAAAGAGTATCGATTTTTGTTTAAAAGAGGTGAGTGAATTAAACTATTATACATGAATTATAAAAAACTTTAAAATTTATATTGGCTAGGTAATTAATTATAAAGTAAATATATTTGATGAATATGGGCGGACCTGTTAGCCCAGATGGGCTAAAAGTAACTTCCAGATCCGCCCATATACAATTCAGGCTTGGGCCGGTCCGCCCATTTGGGTATTAAAGATTGTCCATATCCGCCCTTTTTAAAGGGCGGCTGGGCGGGCCGAACGGGCCGACCCTTGTTTGCACAGGTCTAGTTGAAATGTCATCTGTATGTCCAACTTTGCAGTTTACACTCTTCTCACGTGTAATGGAGGTTTTAATAGATTTCATCACTTTATCTTTGTTGTTTAATTATCGTGTATTAATCTGAATAAAACTCTGAGTTGGTGTTAATTTGAGAACCAAAAGTGTAATTTGACATTAAATTTATGTATAGTGACATATTTTGATATCAGCTAGACTCACAATACAACATTAACTAATATGACTATGGACTAAGATTCCGATCAAAGATATATAACATTTGTATGCTATGGTTGTAGTAAATAGCGATGGTGATTCACAAATGACGCAACAAGAGCGGCCTATGTAATTATTTATGACAAGAAAAATATATGATCTTTGTTAAATTACCTTTTTAACCTTCAAAATAACACTAACATGATAGAAGTTAAAAAAAGATTATTTGTGGAAAAGTATCCATAAAAGAAAAACTATGGGCATAATATTAAATAATAAAGAACTAAATATGAAAAAACCTCTTGTTAGAATGGACCAACTATTAAATTGGCTAGGTTCAATGGCCACTCATTTTGAGTGGCCACAGAAGCAACTGCCACTCTACAGAGCTCCGTTCGTAAAATTGGTGTTTTCTATCCCTCCTAATCCTCCCGCCCAGTCCCGACCCCAACCCATCCCCCTACCAATGTCAATTGCATCCCGCAAGTTTAACTGACTTTGTAGTAAAACAATTTGACGTTTAAGTCAACTAAATCATTATATTATTTTTTCTAAAGGGGTCGCAAAAATGAGTTAAAACGTAGTTAGAGTTTGACCATATAAATAGTGAACAACCAACTTAGATTGAAGCAGAGGGAAGTATAAACTCTAAACATTGTATGTCATAATGCATTCATCTCTTTTACAAATCACTGGTAATACAAGGGTGCTTGGCCCTGCGTTGCTTTTTAGAATTCAGCTTTTATTTTAAGTTACAATCATTTTATTCTATTTGGCATACCAACTTCTTCATTTGTTTATATGGTGCTTCTACTTTAAGATTTTGTGAAAATCCATATATATATATATATATATATATATATATATATATATATATATATATATATATATATATATATATATATATATATATATATATATATATATATATATATATATATATATATCTATGTGTGTGTGTGTGTGTGTGTGTGTTCTGGTGAGAATGAGATCTTAGTAGAGAAATGAGAATAAATCTGGTCCCTCCATCTTGATACTCATCTAGTGTAACGCACAAGGGCTAGATGGTACTTTCGACTCTCCCCCCTTATTTACTTAGTTTCGTTTCCTTTTTTCCATCTCTCTCGCCCGGAGAATCAGCGCACGTATCTCTTTCCTTGTTGAAGATGACGAAATACAACCTTCTCCTTCTATTCCCACCGCACCCAAACGCAGAAATCATCTCATTTCAATATCACAAAACATCGGCACTTAAATTTGAAGATGTCATATTCCGATGCCGTGTTCATGGATCCGGATTCAAGTTTGTGCTCTAATCCATCTTCAATTTATTCATGGATCTGGACTCATTTTATATCACGTATTTTCCCACATCAAATTGTGTTCTAATCCGTCTCTACAACTACACACAGAGTCGGATTCTTCAACGGAACATTTCAGTCAAGCCGGATGCGATAGTGGATTCGCTCATCCCTGCCCTGAAAGCTCCAAACCAAGTGTTGGTATGTGTTTTAGAAATTTAGACGACGGAATTGCATTTTACAGAGAATATGCAGCGCTCGTCGGCTTTGATGCATGAAAAAGCACGACAACGAAGTCTCCAGACGGTGTGATTATATGGCAGTATGTTGTCTGTAATAGAGAGGGTCAAAAGAATGTTTCTGTCACTTCTAAGACTCCAGTTCAAGACGTTGTTGACTCCATTCCAAAAAAAAGAGGATGTATATCAAACCGCATCGGATGCAAGGCACGTGTAATATTTAGATTGTCCAGGGCAGCCGGTTATTCTATCACTTCTTTCAAAGAATGTCACAATCATTTTATGCTTTCCGCTCCTTCAAGGCGTTTCTTAAAAGTAAACAGAAATCTAGATATTGGTCACAAGAAATTCATGTTGAATTGTGTTAAGGCTAATATTGGAATAATGAAGTCCTACAGCCTTTTCAAAGAGTCTGTAGGTGGTTACGATAATATTGGAGCCACGGCTGTTGACTTTAAGAATTTTAGACGAGACCTCAAAGCTTACATTGCCGGCGGGGATGCACAAATGGTTATCGACAAGCTGTTTAGAAAACACGAGACTTGTTCTGCATTTCACTTTGAATACGACGTTGATGATAGCAACCAACTTACAAGGTTATTCTGGTGTGATCCTGTTGCTAGGAAAAATTATGCCATGTTTGGTGATGTAGTCTCGTTTGATGCGACTTATGAGACCAACAGGTACTTTGCACGTGCATTCCGCTTCTCATGTGTTTCTTGTATATTCAATCTACTTGTTAGTTTAGTAATTTTTTCGTGAGTAGTATTTCACGTCTTCATTCATCCATGAAATTTTTATCTCTTTCTGTACAGATACAATATGATATTTGCACCATTCACAGGGCTCGATAATCATCGAAAATGCATTACATTTGCTGCTGGGTTGATCAACAAAGAAAATGATGAATCTTATGCTTGGCTTTTCCGTTGTTTTCTAAATGCTATGGGTAATGCCCCTAAATGTATCATTACTGACCAAGACCCTTCTCTTCGAGGTGCTGTGAAACAGGGATTTACCATTCACCGTTATTGTATGTGGCACATCATGAAAAAGGTTGTTAAGAAAGTGGATGACAATTTGCTTAAGGATGCAGATTTTTTGTCCAAACTCAACGCCATCGTCTGGAGTCACTATCTAGAGCCAGATGATTTTGAAACGCAGTGGCAAAATCTCATGGCCGAATATAATTTAGAATCTCACAAGTGGTTTACCAAAATTTTTCAGATACGAACCACGTGGATTCCGGCATACTTCAGAGATTTGTTCATGGGAGGGTTACTGCGTACAACTTCTCGTTCCGAAAGTGAGAACAGTTTTTTTGATGATTTTACCAGGAAAATTTTTAGCCTGGTGGAGCTTCTTATGCAGTTTGAAAGTGCCATGGACTCTCAACGTCATAAAAACGCAGACTACAATGCAGACGATGAAGCATGCTACCCAGAGTTTAAAACTCCATTGGATATTGAGAAGCATGCATCCTCGGTTTACAAATTGACTATTTTCTACGATGTTCAAGCCGAGATATGTGCAGCATGCTTCTCTTGCAGAGTACTTCAAGTCGAAGAACTTGATGACCAACACAACCAATACTTAGTCAAGGACAACAGGGGTCTGACATTCACCGTTGAATACTCACGCATTCAAAGCACTGCAACATGCAGCTGTAAGAACTACATGCACATTGGATTATTATGCAAACACATATTTCTAGTTTTCAAGGATGAGAACATTCGTAAGATTCCAGATTTGTATATCAACCCGAGATGGTGTAAAACAAAATTGTTGAAGCCCATGATCAACATCCCCGACATCGAATTTGATGTCGTTACAGCTGTTAAAGGGGAAAAAACAGCATTGAATCGTTTGTGGCCGGATATTCACTACTGTGTTGCAGCTGTCGAACAAAAACCAGACTTATTGGATGGATTTTCAAAGGTCATTCGACAACAAAAGAACATCCTCCAAAATGCACTTCAGTCTAATCTTACTCCACCACAAGACCAGATCTTTGAGTTATTCTATGGCACATCTGCACCATCAAACATTACTATACTCCCCCCCAACAAGTACACAACAAGGGTGGTGGGAAGAGAATCAAAAGCGCTTTGGAGATTAGCATAGAGCAAGGAAAGAAGAACAAGCGAATGTGTAAAACTTGCCGTGAGATGGGATACCATGATAGTAGAAATTGCCCACTTAATAAACAGTAATGAATTATCTTATTAATGTATTTCCTCTTGTAGCAAAACTCATACTTATATATACACTTACCAATGCCTTTTGTCTTAAATATAAAAAAGCATTTTATTTCGATTATTAAGCATCAAACAATTCGTTGCAATGCATTCAACGTGTGAATTTGCGCTTGTGTATATCTCACGCTCTCCAATCTTTTATGACGAATGCAGTATACTACAAATATACTGCATAACTACTATGCTCTTCACCCATGTAATGTAAACATATGGTTCAACACAATTGTGGTATAGGGCGCATTTATTGATAAATACACTGCATTCCAGTACATTGATAAATGCACCCTTCTTCCATGCCACAATGCATCCCACCCAAACCTTATTTAACACTGGTTAATACTTAATGTACAAACAAGTCATCAAAAACACACGACCTAAACCATTCCTAATTAAAATGCAAATAATTCCATTACCATCTTACCGAAACAATCAATCCCCAAAATCGATCAAAACTATCTATCACCAACTGATCATTCATATCGACGATATTAGTGTTGAAAACAAGATAAAACCATAATACAATTAAAAAACCCAATTCCAAAAAACAAAAAAACGGTGTGCAAAAACACCAAAGACGATGCTGCAAATGTTAAATAATGTTTGGTTTCCAACATCAAGCTGCCACGAAATTCTTTGCCTTGGTCATATTTTCCTCCTTCATCTCATTGACCTCCGCCAAAACGATGCAAGCATAGTACTTTGAACGCAATGCATTAAAGGCTCTCCGATCTTCCCTGCTCAAACCACAGTCCCATCCTTTTACTGCAAGCCCCATGTATGTCTCCATATGGCGCATAGTTGCAACACCGTACTCATGTATGGACGTGGGCTCCCTCCAATGCATTTTAAGCCGCGTTGGCCGCTGTGTACTTAGCTTTCTCAGCTTTCCTTCCATCCCCTCGTTCTCAAAGAATTGCCAAGCATGTCACGCTGCATTTCAATGTTTACAGAAGTATGAGTAGTGAAACACATTGCTTCGTCAAAGGGTAAAAACTGTTCACTGCATGGATTAACTAACCAGCTTAGCAGGCATGTCCTCGTATTTGTCGTCGGCTCTTGTGCATGATGAAGAGAGGTCCAACACTTCCAGCCTGCTGCCCTTCGTGTTTACACAAACACAATAGCACCACTTCAATTGCATGACTGGGATAAATATCTGCACCAAAATCAAATGGTTATGAAACCATTCATTTATATAACATGGACCACAAAACCCGATGAATTCAAAAATATGAATATATAATATTATTAACTCTTTAAATACAATACTAAATCTGCGTTTAATGGGGTGGTAGATGTCTAATAAGCATCCAATGCATCACAAAAACTACCAAATGCATTGCTTTTATCTGGTAGTGCACCTTCGGACATATATAACTACCACCAAAAATATGTCAGCACCAAACATATCAAACAATGCATAATAGATTTAAAAAAAATGCATCAGAAGCACTTACACATTTATATGACTTTGGATAGAATTTGGAAGGGGAATCAACACTACGGTAGAGCTCCTTGTGATTAAGAATGGTAGACCAGGCATCAAGAACGAGATGCGATATGTGTTCCCTGGAATGTAGTGTCATCAAATCTCCACGGTTCAACACAAGGTCCCCACACTTAAACAACACCTCATCCCTATGTGTACCGACATTTAAAAAATCATATACATGTTACCAAATAGAATTTCAGCAAATACAACAAAACAATGTGATACTCTTCTCACAAAAGATCTACATGTTACGTTCTAATGTACAAACCTGGATGCTTCTATGTTTTTCATCACCCACTTCCAAATACGATTTTCGGTGCTGCTTGCATTCTCTCTTAAGTCCACAGCTCGTTTCATGTACGGTAACTTCATGAACAATGTTGTTTTCCCCTTTCGCTTTTCTTTCTTGGAAATGACATTTTATAAACAATAAAAAAAGAAACATACAACGTGCAGCTTAAAAACACATAACACTCAATAGAAATTTTTCTTTTGTTAATCCCATCCTCAAAATACTACCTGAACTCCATGAGGTCCTTCCCCTCTATCACTGACTGGTGCATCCACCTCTTTTACACCAACCTTTACAAGGATACAACATTTACACATCACACAGATGCATTACGAGCAGATTACTTAGCATTATGGAGACATATTGTGGTTAAATATTGAAACTTGCTCAACATTCTGCTGAATTCCAATATTCAGTTTCTCCTTGTTACAAAGCTCTGCCTCCACCACAAAGTCACCAACCTTCACTCAAAATAAGAATTACATTACACACATATGCATCCAGTACATAATACCATGCATTCTAAGGCAAATTTTAACTAAAACCCAAACCTGTTGTTCCACCCCATGCATTCCTTCATTCCCTTCTTCTCTTTCCCCAACATCTGTTTCCTTAGAATTCTCAGCAACCTATCAAAAAAACTTTTATAATTCCATCAACATGCATCACCAACAGAATGTAATGCATTTTATGAATTGTATTAAAAAATAAAGGAACCTGTCCACAAACACGGGAAACCACCATCATCTCCCTTTCTCTATTCTCACTCCCTCTTGCATCCTCAGCATTGTATGCCTCATCACTACCCATCTCCTCTAGTATTTGAGTCACTCCGAGGGAGAAAGACGGCACATCACTCAAAAAATCCTGATACTTAGACTTCACCTCCACAGCACTCTCCATTTCTTTTGCAATGGCCATCAATTCAGGGCTGCTCCAGTATGGATCATCATCTAAATAATGAATATCTTTCCATTTAGATGACGCGTCAAGAACCACATCTTTCTTGTCATCCACTCCCATCAGCCGGTGTCCTAAACCTCTTAATTTACAAAATTTTTCATCGACAAACATTTCTCTTGGTGCCTCCTGAAGCATTTTGATCATGTCAATTATTGTGCTTGCTAGGATCTTGCTTTTGGCTGCAAATCTCCTCACAAGCACCTAAACGAATGTAGAGAAACAACTACTACTATCACTCAAAGATGAATGTGTTAGCCAAAATTATAAAGACTATAACCTATTAATAATCAACATTACCATCTTCGCATTATCCACCGTGGGCTGTTTTCCGTAGGATGTACCGACATGCTCACCGTTTGTAGCGGAATGACCAACAGCCACCTTGGTCAGCAATATGTGCTTACCTTTCTCCAACGGCCCGTTGTCATGTCCCATACCAAAGCCTCTTCCGCTCACCTCTTTATTCTCTCTCTTCTAAGCTCTTTACACGTCCACCCCTTTATTGCTGGAAATAACCTTGGCACGGTATCAGTGAAAATAGCGACACGATCAACGTAAAAAACTTGCATGGATATCAATTTATTAGGTTCACAGAAAAGCAACATATTATAGTATTAATGCACAGACTTACAACTTACCAACAACAAAACGAATGGTCCACAAAAATACCTCTCGGGACTCTTCTCCCACTTCATCGTGTTGTCGATCAACTTTTCTAGCACATAGTGTGACCAATTTAACCTTTTCACTCTGCCCACATCTCTCAAGTGGTCAAGGACCAAACTGTTAACATAACCATGTGACGTACCATCGACCAAAACCGACATCACCAACAACACAAAATGTCTAACAAACCATTCACCTCCCTCCTTACACCCAAGCATCTCATCAGCCAACTCCGTTGGGGTTATTCTGTTATTACACTTCCCAAACTTCATCCTCCACTCTTTCAATAAATCAGTGTCCCTGTTTCTCTTGTTATTCTCAATCTTGACCCCACCATACGGCAAACCAAGTACAGAATGCACATCGAAGGCTGTCATGTGCAACTTCATACCATCCGGAAGCACCAAACTACTCCTCTGAGCATCAAAATTCTTCACCAGCCAATAACCTAATCTTCCAGGCAGTTCTAGAATATTCATTCCCAAGATTGAACCAAATCCAATTCTCTCTACCTCTCCTTTTCCTCTTTCCTTCACTTTTAATAGGCATGTGACAGACTTCAATAGCATTGCTATGTTCACTTCCTGTGTCCCCCTTTGTATCAGCTTCATCATCCTCATCTGCATCATTATCAGTCTCACCATCATCATCAGATGCTGCAGGTGCATCATTACCAGTCTCAACAGCATCATCAGATCCTTCTTCATCCTTAGAAGCTCCATCCTCATCTTCAACATCCATTCCATTATTGCCATCTTCACTTTCCTGATCATCCAAGTTACTGTCACTATCATCATCAATCTCCATGCGCACAGGCTTATTGATTCTTTCAATCCTCCATCTCACGTTCCTCAATCGATCACTACGGCGAATTGGTGTTGCAAACGACATTGATCTTGAACCCTTACCCCCACTGACCTTCACTGCCCTTCCACCATTCCCAGCAGGTAGTCCTTCATCATACAAAAAAAGAACACTCAAACATAAAAAAAATGGGAATTATCACAGTGCAATGTATTTTCAGATTTATGGTCTGCAAATTTATCACAAATCATCTGCACTCCAAAACAACCACTCTCACTATTAGAATAGATGTCAACTTGTTCATTAACATCATTAGCATTTTCCCCAAGGCCTGCCGCTTGTGCCTCGCCAACACATTGACCTATAAATGAGACACGAATACAAATCAATTTGTATCATCCCCAATCCAAAACAATACTGTGTATTTTGACATTCAAAGAAATACCAATGCAACTAATTCAAATTTATTTCAACACAACAAGAATACAAAACATCATTTTTACTCTAAAAATATGCAATATTTTTACAAGATTTAACTTAAAGTCACAGAATTAAAAAAAATACAAACCATACCACATTACAGTAAAAATCCTAAATCTCTAAATACCTTTTATTCCATTTATGCAAACAAAATCGCCAACAAATGCAAACCAAGAGTATAGAAATGCATCAATATAACTAATCAAACGCATCAAATTTCTCACACTCTCTGTTAGAATCCAGAATCTGAACATGCACTTTTTAAAATATGCAATCAACTTGGTCTACACATGCAAAACAATTAGGAAGAAATGCACGAACACAAAACACCCAACACACACTGTTCATGTAAAGAAATCTCAAACCTCTACAGGGCCACAGTCTAAACCAATCAGCAACCCTAATTTCTCAGCTTTGTACTACCATCAATTCTTATTGTACAGAGTGCAACACAAACATTGGGAGAATGATACATGCAAGTAAGATGAATTAACCTATTAGGCGAAGGAGTAGAAGGAATAGAACCAATTTCCAAAATGCACCAGAAATTAATGGACATGCAATTGCATCTCCTCACTACCGAAGCATCTCTCATATATAATTCATAGCTAACGATGCAACCAGCACACACAATTGCTAGTAACACCCTAAAAACCATTTAAACCCCCAAAATCCCCATAAAAAACGCAAAAGAGGAATTATAGTACCTTTCCGGGCAATTGCATTCTTCGTCCTCCTCAAGAACACCATGGATTTTCTGGCAAGGGATGCATCGTCGTTGCTCGCCATCGCTACCACTTGCTACTCCGGTGAATGTGCTCAAAATTGAGATGCAAAGCTCGAGAATGAGTCATGTATGGACTCTGCAGCTTCAAAATTGGTAAGGGAGAAGAATTTTTTTAATTTTGGTAAGCGGGAATGGCGGCTTCGTAATAGGCGCACATCCAATAAAGCATAAGCGAATGACGGAAATGACCCTCCAATGGAACACGCCTCAAAAATTGCACCCTAATAATTACCAACCTTATTTAGATGTAAATTGCGGCCCACTAATTGTAAAAAGGACAGCTGCAAGATCTAGTGCATCTAACGGATGAAATTCATTCTCATTTCTCTCCACAAAAGTCATTCTCACAGGAACCGCACCCTATATATATATATGTGTGTGTGTGTGTGTATATATATATAGATATATATATATATGTATATATATATATATGTGTATATATATATATATATATATATATGTATGTATATATATATATATATATATATATATATATATATATATATATATATATATATATATATATATATATATATATATATATATATATATATATATATATGGCGTCTCTGAATCTTCAGCGATGTCAGATAACTTTCGTTCTTTCGCTGATGTTGGTTCACCCCAACACCCGCTGGCGAAATTCAAGGGTTTGCCCTCGATTTCATTCTCTGATGAGGAGATTCATAGATTATCAGGTAAGTTTCGCAGATCCCTTGTCGGTAGTTTCAACGAGAAAAGGCCTCCTCTTATTTTAATCTGTAAGACCCTTGAGAAAATTGGATTCTCAGATTCGTTTAAGTTGGGATTACTTGATGATTCTCATGTTCTGCTGCAATTTGAATCTGAAACTGATTATCTCCGTTGTTTATTGAGAAACCGATGGAATTTTTGTTCCTCCGATATGCGAGTTTTCCGATGGTCTGCAGATTTTGACCCCTCTGTGGAATCCCCTCTAGTCCCAGTTTGGGTTGGGCTAGAGGGATTGCCAATCCATCTCTTTGAAAAACCCACCCTTTTCTCCATTGCTAAACTCTTTGGCTCTCGACTGCAAACTGATGCAGCCACTGTGAATTTGAGTAGGCCTAATGTGGCCAGAGTCTGTGTGGAGGTTAACCTTTCAAAGGAACTTCCCAAGGCTATTTGGATACACTTAGGTAGCTCATCCTACCTTCAACCCTTTTTTTTTGAAAATCTGCCATCCTATTGTAACTCCTGCCATCAATTGGGTCACAAGTCCTGCAAATCAGGAACCAAAAACTCTCGCTGGGTTAGGAAAACCAAGCCAAGAGGCAAGGTTGTGACCCCTGGCCAGCCAGTCTATTTTCCTAGCAACGCAGCTGTGCCAACCTCTACTACCCCAATTACCTTTGGTAGCCTTGAAACTGGTCACCAATACGTCACAACAAAGGACATAGGGCCCTGCCCTACAATGAGCAAGAATGCTCCTCCACCACGTTTGGACAGTACTGCTTTGGCCCCTCCAACTGATGCCAACTTTGTGACTTTGGATAGTATTTCTTTGTCCCTCCCAACAGATGCTAATTTGGATGCCTCCTATTTGGAATGTGCTCAACACAAAGATACCAAAGACAACCCATTACTGACTGGTCCATGTGGGCTTGAACTCACGATAGAGGGACCCTCCTGCCCCGTTGAACAGGATTTGTCATCCCGGATCCTCCCCCAATCTCAAAATGATGGTTACGACCCAAATCATACTGACGAAAATATGAGAGCACACGAGACTCACCGTGAGTCCTCGGATGGCACTCCATCAGACACTACGGTCCCTCCCATTGGAAATGATGATGCTTTATCTGATCCATCTACCCACACCAAAGTTCATGCTGGAAAAGATGACGAGGCCGGTAAGGATGCTCTCACCGAAGCAGAACCGGTTTCACCCCACACCCTGGAGGACAATACTAACATTTCTTGTGAGCCTAGGTCTTTTTGCAGGTATATCAAGGTCACCGAACAATGAAGCAGCCCTTCATTACAAGAATTCCAAAAATTGAGCTTCACAGAGCAAATTGCAGAACTGAAACGAGGGCACCAACAACTCAACTCCATGCAACCAATAGCTGCATTTCAATCAATACAAGGGATAGGTCCAAAACCTGTCGATTCCAATCTTTTCGAAGTCCTTCAAGACCATGATGAAAATGAAACTCATGAAGAAAGTGATCCTCATGAAGAAAGCGATCCTGAAACTCCAACAATGGAAATCCGCCATAAAGGAGAACCTCCTGACATGACGATCCAGACGCGCAGTGGTCGCGCTCCATATGCGAGGCGTGGCCACAACACTCGTGGGAGGGGGCGTGGAAGACACGACAGACGTGGCAACCACAACCCATCCTAGTCCTATTAATTTATCTTTTCACTTCTTGTTGCTATCCACCTGTTTTGGATAGTATTATTTCCTTTTTGGGGGCTTTGGTCTAGTCCTCCCTCTTTTGTATCTCCCCCCCACTCTTTCCCATTAATAAACATCTCTTTATATATATATATATATATATATATATATATATATATATATATATATATATATATATATATATAACACCCTAATCTGTCCAGGTCTGCAGCCCCTTTCAGATTAAAGTATTAACTTGGTAATCGTAAAAATTTAAAACATTTCAAACACTTTTATTTATCACAATAATATTTTTCATAATATAAACAGTACGGAGTTTTCAATATCGCGGAGGCTTAACAATCATAATCACAAACATAATTTATTTATGTTCTTTAATTCAAAACCATCACATCCATTCCGACAATCTCGCCTCCGTCTGCCTCCAGGATCACGTCACTTCATTAACCTGCGTGTAGCAAATAAAACATACTACACGCTCAGCGTTGAAGCTGAGTAAGCATATCTAATGCATCGAACACCCATATAAACTGAATCTAAATTCATAATCAAATCATTTGATATCATGCACATAATGTTCAGTTCAGATAATCAATAATTATTAAAAATTATTCATCATGCATTATTCAACATTTATATTCACATTCAATGTTCATCAGTCATTCATAATAATTGCAATATTCAATTCAATATTTGGTGGTCCCAAAGTGGTGAAATACAAAGTCTAGAGGGGGGG